AAAATCAGTTTAAACTTTTCAAATGAAAACGAAAAGCTACTTTTGGCTGATAGTGTTGTTATTTTGGACTCTTTGGGGGAGGTCTAATCAACAGGAGGATTGTTTGTGTGCTGTATAAAAGAAAACATTTTAAGGTAATAATTTAACATTTTGGGAAATAAAAACTTGTTTGCTTGAAAAATCATTCCCTCATTTTATGCCTGTGCGATAAATATTCACCTGAAGTCAGCAAATTAGTAGTGATAATAAGCAACTCCAAGGCCAACTGACAGAATAATCATCTGCTGCATCTGTACAGCTGAACTGTGAAACTGACATGCATGATTTTAGGTTAGAGTCACGTGAAAATAATTTTCCATTAAATTCTGTGTCGTCTTCACTTATTATTTCCATAATTATGAAGTTAAGAGGCTGTGTAGCAGCTAGATGCTACTAATCAAATGCACTGGATTAATTAATCATGAGCTAATGGGACCACCTCTATAAAGCAGAGGGTTGGGCAGTTTGCTGGTCTGGAATATTAAGCTGTGTGTTAATAATACAATGCCACAATCTTCCCTGGAGTGGATGTCCCAGCAAATTCACCCCAACGTCAGACTGCGCAAAACTCATTGCAGCAGTTTCCTGCACCTTAACAGCAGCAGTGTTGCCAACTTAGCGACTTTGTTGCTATATTTAGCGAGTTTTCAGAGCCCCTTAGCGACTTTTTTTCTAAAAAGCAACTAGCGACAAATCTGGCGACTTTTTCTGGTGTTACTGGAGACTTATTTATGACGACTTTTTGACGTAAAAACGCGTATCGCTCTTACTCTCAACAAGCAGCGGTGCTGCTGTGGGCACCTCAGCCGTGCCAAAGCGCTTCCAGGCGGAGGATAGTCCTCCCCCAGCTGCTATCAGGGCAGGAGACGTTCACACCTGTGCGTTGCCGCTGCTCCGCACTGACTGTAACGCAGTCAGTTCTTTTACTGTTCTGCTGTTTTGTGGATCACAAGGTTTAAAACCACTTATAAACTCTCACTCACAAAGTAACTCCACCAGAGGGCCAATTTCGGGTCACTTTTGCCGGTCCAGGCCCGGGTAAAGGAGCAGGGTTGGAATTGTGACATTAAAAAACAATAATTGCTAAAAGAAATTTAATTTGTAGCTCTAAATAAATTCTAACTGCATTTAAGACGTTTTTTACTCACTTTATGTCTCTTCCACGATGTTATTTCTCTCTCCAACAACGTAGATTACAATTACATTAGCATGACCAATTATGCAAATTAGGCGATGACGTCATTTGGCGACTTCTAGCGACTTTTAGGACAGCCAATAGCAATTTTCCTTACTGTGGAGTTGGCAACACTGAACAGCGGGCATGTTGGAGGGTATACTGGAACTTCCTGGAGTCTTCATTGGTTGCCAGTCATACATTTCTCACTCATAACACTTCCTAACGTGGAGTTGTCATTTTTACACTTGTTGTTTTCAGTACAAATTTAACAAATGATTTATATCATGTTTATGAGTGATGAGTTAATAAGCGGGTAGGTACAGTCCAGCAGAACCAGACTAACTGTTCTCGGGTTGACGTTTAGCTTTATGCTAAGTTATGCTAACTGGCTCCAGTTATGCTAGCATACTAGCATAACTGGAGCCAGTTATGCTAGTATGCTAGCATAACTGGCTCCAGGTATGCTAGCATAACTGGCTCCAGTTATGCTAGCATACTAGCATCTATCTTCTGTCTAATGCTGAGCAAGAAAGCCAGTTTGCAAAATGTCAGTGCTTTGAGGAAAGCTCACACTTGTCTCTTTGTGTTTCCATTGCTCCAGTGTGAAAATGGTGCTGTTGTGGACAGCTGGTGACGTCTTCAAGACCACCTATTTTGTGATGAATGAAAGCCCGGCGCAGTTCTGGGTGTGCGGTTCAGTCCAGATCCTGATTGATGTCGCCATCCTCCTCCAGGTCCTGTTTTACAGTCAAGACACAAGAGCCAAGCTGGGCTGAGCACGGCTGTTACAGTGACTAACACAAAAGCCCGAGTGTTTGAGTAAGTTTCGAGGACTCTGATGACTTCACGCCCTTTACAACATGCTGCAGTGTTGATAACGTTTTTCAGTGCCAGAGTAAGGACAAATCAAAGTCAAATAGTGTGTTTGTTTTGTTTTTCTTTGGTGTGTTTGTTCACTTCTTTTACTGTTCATACTATCCTAGTGTCAAAGAGACCCAACCGAGTGACCTGTAAACGCCATGAAGCCAAAATTCATGCATTAGCATCTTTAATCATGCCCTAGCACCTAAATGCATTTGCCTGTACATTTGTCCTTATTTTGCTACGTGTCTCCTGAAGTGTAGTGGGCATGGAAATTGTAAGGAGGATGCATTACTCATATTGGCAGCTCACTAACGACAATATGTGCTTCTGTAACAACCAGTAACAACCAGTCCTGCACTGGTAGGCCTCCACTGGACCCTGCTGCCTGACTGATGGCTCTCCTACTTCACACTCCTCACTTCACTGGACTGTTTCTCATGATACATAATATGTGAGCTTGTCTGTGCCTTTGCATGTGTGCGAGGTTGTCGTTCTCTCTGGTGTGTTAGTGCAGCTAAAATTGATTTCCGCCGTTGGCATCGAGAGCCGAGCCAAAGCTTCAGCATGTACATCGAGTAATCTACACAGGCCATCAATCTGTGTGTTATGTATGGTGGTTTGATTGACGTGCAGTACATGTCTCCACACAGTATACATAGAAATATGAAAAATGTGGGCAGTGATGGTATGCACTTTTCCTCAGCTGCAAAATGTGTTACGGGCATCGGAAACACAGCAGGCTTCAGGGCAACTAAACTTCTCGAGGGGACAGTGTTACTGAATCTTTGTGCTATTGCAATTTCTGCCAGTGTATTTAGGTTAAGCTGTTTTTTGCTCATTTTTTCCTCATTCAAAAGGAGGAAAGATTATTATATATATTTATTTACCTTGGTTATTGACTAGATGGTGTCCACACCCAGTAAATAATAAGTGTGCTGCTAACAGATATTTAAAAAAGGTCAATTCTTCGTGTTCAGTTTTCTTAAACTTCGTCATTAAGTCAATTCAATTCAATTCAATTCAATTTTATTTATATAGCGCCAAATCACAACAAAAGTCGCCTCAAGGCGCTTTATATATAAATAATAATAATAAGTCAAATCCCTTCATTATCAAGCCCATCGTTAAAATCAAAGGTGATTTTATTTTCAGCAACAGGAAATAACTTTTCTTTTAACAATCATTTCCTTTTCTGATTGGCTCATTAATGCACTCGCTGTGATTTTAATAGGTCACTCAGTCTAACTGGTGCAGGTGGCTGATTCTTCGCTTTAGTCCAAGAGGTGAAGTGGTTCCAGATCAATTATGTGTCTTTCAAATTTTGTTTTCTCATTTTAAAACATAATCAGGCTTATATGCACTGATTTACCTGTAAAAAACTTAAAAATAGCTCATTAAAATCATGTCTAAGATACTAACTGAGGGTCTAAAGCTTAAACTAAAAGAACCGAAAATGCTTCCAGCTCATCATTTCCACAGTCTGAATGACATTTAAGCGAAACCATAGAAATCAAAATCAAAATCAAAGACTCCTTTCAGACAGAACTTAATATTTCAACATAACATAACATAATAACATTTTATCTAGGGTCAGTTTTTAAAATATTAGAAAAGCAAATTCTAGCAATATTTAACCTCCTAAGACCTGAACTCTTCCACAGCAGCATTTTTAATTTCTCTTTGCTATTTGGGCTGATTGGGACCTGATGAATGTAAAAACAAAGAATTACCAGATTTTTTTTATAACTTTTTTAACCTGATTTTTGGTTCTGAATAAATGAGATCCACATATAAGGGACGTTCGTTTTAAATTTCGATAGAACAGTGGCAGTATAATGTCCTCGTAAGTGGATTTCAGGCCCTTGTAGAGCAAAATTGAGTATTTTGGTCTTACTTACTTAGACTTAGATTTAGATTCTCCCGCGCCAATTGGCGCATCGGGCGACAAGAGAACGCCATCGAACTCGGTCTATCGCGGCAGTTGTTGCTTTATCCCATGACAGTTAGATTGAACGTAAATCTTCAAGGAAAGTCCTCCTCCATGTTATTTTAGGTCTTCCTCGCTGTCTCTTTTACATTCTTCGGGTTCCACAGAACCGCGACACGGGCAGGTCTCGGGTCCGGTAGCCGAAGGATGTGACCGGCAAATCTGAACCGACTTGGACATGGAGCTCCCGCACGGCGATATACTTCTTCATTGGTAACGCGATCCCGATATGTGATCTTGAGCAGCCGTCGAAGACAACGTTGTTGGAAGACGTCAAGATGGCGGTTGATCTTTGCAGTTGATTTCCAAGTCTCCGCTGCATACAGTGCCGTCGGTATAACGATGGTCTTCAGAAGCCCCAACTTGGTTGATAAAGGCAGTTCGGTGGTCATCCATGTATTTTGGTCTAGACATGTGGACATTACATTTTGGGTTGTATTTTGGTCTAGATAACCCAAAATGTGATGTCCACATGTGTGGACACCAGGTCCTAGGAGGTTATTGAATGATTTGCTTCTTAGTAAAGCTTAATTTAAGACTGGTTTGCCCTTATTTAAGTGGATTCGGGCCAGTGATTCAGAAATCCAAAGTTAACAATGGATTCTGCCAAAAATCAGCAGATTCTGAATGCAGACGTCTTGCAGTGAAGTTCGACTCACAGGAGGAACATCAGCTGAAACCTCTGGAACAGCCCTGCAGTCTCTCAACCTGAACAACATGCCGTGTGAGCCCTGTCTCACAAAATGATCTGCAAGAAGACGGGCTGATAGTTCATGTGTGAAGGATGACTTGTAGCTGACGACATCTCTCAGGGTTCCCCGACTTTTATATAAAACTGTACATCAACTAATGGCTACAAAGAAGTCAATAAAAGAGAACGACTCCCTGTTGTCTCTCAGAAAGTCAGACCCACTTTAGTGTCTCCACTCATGTTGAAATCTGCTGCTGGATGGGGCAAAGTTCATGTAATGCACGGAAAACGTGCTAACCTTTGGTTTAGTTCCTTCATGCTTCCGTGTAAAAGCTCCGATGAGCTCGGCTTTAGAGGCAGCAGCGGCTGGAGTGTTTTCCACGAGGTTCACGTTTTCACATCTTCAGTTCGATTGCGCTCTCTCTTTAATAGGTTTTGGGGAAACCTTGCAGCCATAAGAGAACCAGTTAAACTGCATTCTCTGCAGCTTATAATATGCAAAACAGTTCACATGTACTTTATTCAGAGGCTCTGTCTATAATTGAAACAGCAATTTAAAAATATAGCCTTAAGGTTAGTTGTGGTTCTGTTACCTACTGCTTGATAGTTTCCTCCTACAAAAACACAGCAGGGTCAAATACATCAGTCCCAGCAGCTGATCAGTACTCGGAACAGGTTTCTTTTGAGTTTTCCACTTGCATGATTTAATTAAGTAATGAAGTTTCAAGCTGATTAAATCTTCCACACTTTTACCTCACCAGTTTCCATTAGTTGATCTACACCTGTTTATCTCAGTGAACATCATATTTAAATTACCCGCTTCTGCTGTTATGGTTTTTATAATGAAGGCCTGCAGCAGCCAGCATGTCGGTACCATTAGCTCAATAATAAAAAAAATTATTGTTTGGTCTGCTTTAGAAACAGACTACGTTTGCATGCATTCTTCAAATCCACATATCTCAGATCTGTTTGCCATATTGTAAGCTGCATGTGGCTTATCGCCTCTATCCTGCACACCACGGTTGTATTTTGTTCCAGTTCTGTGTCATGTATGCTGTTATCATCAGATGTGTATCTTTATATTGTTTTTCCTCTGCAGAGGCTCAGAATAGCACCTGCACCGACTTTAGTTTAACATTTGCCTGCTCTGTAGCCTTTTCCTCTCAAGGACAGCAGGACAAATAAACACACACACACACACACACATGCGCCTCAGCTGTGATAATCAGTGAAGTTCACATGATGGTAAATCTACTTGTTGCCTTTCTGCATGCAGAGGGAGGATATGCTGTGTAACAATAATAAGCCAAAAGATCCTTTCTGTTGAGCCAAAAGTACAAACAAAGTAACTTTTCACTGGAATATAATGAATATAATGTAACTCTGATGTAAAATGTAAGAGTTTGTGACATTATACAGAAGTGACATCAAAAATACTGCAAAAATGTTAATGTCTGAACATTTTACTGTCTTATGGCAGCTCTATGTATGTATGTGAAATATTTATCATCATCAAATATAAACTATTTTGAGTCCATGGTGTAGTGCTGTGTGCTTTCTGGCTCTGTGAACTCTGTGAATGTGAAGCATGTGAAGAAGAAAGAGTTTGACAGACAGAATAGAAGCCTGATAGTCTGAGTGATTAGCTTTAACATGGCTAACATATAACATATAACATTTCCAACAGCTTAGCTAGAAACACCAGACGTGAACCACGTATATGTTCTCTACATTCCTACACAGTAGATATATCTTTTCTACAGAACAGGTCCCAGTCGAGCTGTCTTGCAGTGAGATAAAGTGCAGAGGGAAAACCTCGAATTCTTTTATTTAAAAGGATTGAGCACCGAATAAATAATGAAAGAGACTGAGGTAGAGTTCAGACTTTTCTGTTGCTGAACGCACGGAATTGAAGATCTGCGGGTTAATTAAGACTCGTGTCCCTCCAAGGTTTTAATCCCCTCTACCTAATTCAACATCACACACGCAGATGGTTACGGCATCGCTTGGTTCAAGATAACTCACAGCAATAACGAGGAGCGCTGCGGCGTGGATAGTAAAATATTAAGGAAGCTGGCTGTTGGACAAGGACAGAATGTGTGCTGCACCTGTCGGGCTCTAGCAGACCGTTACATATTCCATATGCACGGGGTACGACCCCCCTTGGTCGTGGCGTGTGGATATTTCTTTAAGACACCCGGCTATGCCCCACAGCTCATGTGTAAAACAGGTGTGCTTTCAGTGGATTCGTGTTTTGGCCTGGCTTGTACATCCATTAATAATAGATGAACTGGAATGCAGGCTTGAACTTGAACGCTGTATCTGATCCTGATACCTGTAACGTGTGTCTCATTGGTATCACATAGCATGATGGCAGTCATGGCTTTGTCTATGGGTTTTAAAATGTTTCATCATAAATCTCATAATGGATCTATCTGACCACCTGCCATCCATCAGCTGGTAATTCCAACATGTCTTTACAGTGGCTTGTTTTAATGATGGATGAGGTGGGCTGAAATAGTTCACCTGCACCCCGTGTCCATGAGGTCTGCTCTGCTCCGGTCTGCTCCATTTATTAATGATGGTGTGTCGTCATGCAGTAAAAGGAAGTGCACTTTTCATCCCCATCGAGTGTTCCAGATTTCATCTACTAGGCACAGAAGTTATTGGCAGCATAGGTGACGAATATTGAATAATAATGAATACACCATGTTTCTTAAAACACTGATTCTTGTTTATGTGTTACAGGATAACTGTCGTTATTGTTTCTACCCTCGTGTCGTTCGTCCTCTAGTTCTTTACATATGCTTCTCCTGGCTGTTACACAGAGTTCCTGTTTTATTTTGGTAATTATTTTCTTTGCTTTTCTTCTATTGTTTTACTTCCTGTCTTTGTCCTAGTTCTCTGCTGAGGTTAGTTTCATGTGTCTTGTGCTAGTCATTCAGTTTCTATTTAACCCTTTAAGACCTACCATAGAACCAAGTCCGCCAGA